TACTAAGTAGTTCCAGCGTTGACCGCTCGATAGCGCCGCTTACCCGCGCTAGAAAAAATCAGTCCGGGAACTTTCCGGACAAACTGTGTATAGCACATAAAATCTTATTGAAATCACACTGTTAATAAATTATCAAATCAGCTGAGAATATTGTATATAAAATTTATATATATATATATAATTTATTTTTGTGTCTTGTCTCTTATTGCTGTGTAATTCTGTTCTTTGATTTTCACTCGTGAGATAATTCAACAATTTCCTCTTCCATATATATATATATATATATATATAGCACATAAAATCTTATTGAAAGAAAAAAGTATTTAAATGCAAAAGAGACAACGATATTAAATAAAACATTGTAAAATATCATAAATGCGATAAGAAATATTTTTGTAGCGCGGGGCGTTTCTTACACAAACTCTCTTTGCTTTATGTGTTTTATAATACTAATCGTATATAGAGTAGAGCGCGTCCAGTTACACAAGAGTTGAGAAAGCAAAGTCCATTTTGCAGAGCTTGTTTATGCATCTCTCACCTTACAGACACACAAACTTTCTTACTTTCTTTCAATTTACCTCCGTTGTACTTCCAGAATCAGTTATGTTCCACTTCTTTGCTTCAGTCACTTTTTCTTCCTATCTCTCTCGAACCCGTAATTTATATTAATTAATTAATCGCAAAGCTAACTCTTTACACTATTAATTCTCGTTATTTATCCGCTCGAACCCTTCTGTGTTACCGTTTCACCCCGTTCTTTTTCCTTTTTTTTTCCCGGTCTCGCTCTGTCGTATCTTTATATTTCATTCTTACATTTTTACTTTCTTCTCTCATTTCTTTTGTGTCTTCTTTCCGTTCCTTTCTTCATGTATATTGCAATATACCAGGATTAAGCTAAAGAGCGCGCCTCAACATTTAATTATACACCGAAGAAAGAGAGAAGAAAACAGAAACAAAACTACAGAGAGAAATCCTATTAAAATGTTTTTCGCCAAAATAAAAGTTTTTTAATTACATGTACATATCGTACTTACATATCGTATGTAACACGTAATTTTCTATTTGAAATTCTTTTGTAAAACTAACACTGTTTCTTTCTCTCTCTCTCTCTCACACACACACTCTTTCTCTCTTTCATAATTGTGTCATTTTAAAAATTGCAAAAATACTTTAGCAAAGCAATCGCGCGTTTAATTACAAATCCTCAATGCTATCGCACGCACCGTAATTGTTCCTACAACGCGTCACCGCGGTGTTGTCTGTCGCGCAGATTCCGCGAAAAGAAAGACGAGAGACTAGATGTGGAATTCGATTACGCCGAAGGATCTCTCCTTCGCGGAGAAAAGGGTCAACCCCCTTCTCCGCGATAGCCGGGACTATTTTAGCAATAGCGGAATGCCGGACAGCGTTGAGAACAATTATTACTACTTGGCAAACTCAAATAGTCTCCGGTCGGTAGATACCACTTGGCAACTTCTCGGACACATAAACGCGAGAGACTCCCGGAGCATAAGTCGGAGAGTCCTGGCGCACAGAGAGGACTGCGTCTCGTTCTCTCCGCAGTCGGAGACTCCCTAGACTAACTGTATTCAAAGGACGAGCAACGGATAACCGGTACACTATGCGGTGTCGGCGGTTAACGACACGTTTGCTAGTCAATTCGCGCGCGCGAGCGCAACGTTGGATAGAACGGGGAGGGTTTGAGGTTCTCGCATCCTAAATTTCGAGGATGTAATCTCGTTGCGCGAGCTCTCGCAAAACTACGTTAATTCAATAGCAGCGTTCTGTTAAACCGCGTTTTAAAACAATTTCGCACGGAGAGATTCGACATTGCAAACAAGAGTTAAAAAAAAAACTACACACGGGGATGTACAAGATATGGGATTTGCAACGTGCAATATACAAACGATTGCGTAAAATGTTACAAGATCCCGAGTCGAAATTTAGCGTCTACATTGAACCTCAATTTGTGAAAAAAAGAAATTTCGGACGTATAGCAGCGTCAAAGTAGCATCTACTTTTTTTCTTACTCCTACTTTGAGCCTATCAGAACCTATTTTGAGCTTATCAGAGCCTGCAATGCGCAGTCTGATCTGAGAATTGAACCCTACTTTAAAACTTTAGCAGGAAGAAAGGAAATTTCGGACGTATAACAGCGTCAAAGTAGCATCTACTTTTTTTCTTACTCCTACTTTGAGCCTATCAGAACCTATTTTGAGCCTATCGGAGCCTGCACAGTCTGATCTGAGAATTGAACCCTACTTTAAAACTTTAACAGGAAAAAAGGAAATTTCGAACGTATAGCAGCGTCAAAGTAGCATCTACTTTTTTTCTTACTTCTACTTTGAGCCTATCAGAACCTATTTTGAGCCTATCAGAACCTGCAATGCGTAGTTTGATCTGAAAATTGAACCCTACTTTAAAACTTTAGCAGAAAGAAAGGAAATTTCGGACGTATAGCAGCGTCAAAGTAGGATCTACTCTCTCTCTTACTCTTATATAAAAAAAAAAAAAATTGAGGTTCAATGTAGACGCTAAATTTCGACTCGGGATATAGTTTTGCTTTCGTTTGTTCGCAGCGGTGTTAATTTTTTTTTTGTTTCCGCAATACACTTCCAATACTTATGCAACCCCCGATGCGGGGGGGGGTTGGTCGTCTGACAGCCCCGCAGCTACGGGCGCGCCAAGAAGATAGCTGTGCATCGTGAAAGGCGCGACGTCGCAACAAGATGACAGTCGCAAGGAAGAGACCCAAGACGTGCGCGAGCATCGGAAAGCTATTCACGATGCGGCGCTTTCTTACTTGAGAAAGAGAGAGAGAGAGAGAGAGAGAGATTGACGGGAAGAAAAGGGAGGATACTTGTGTATGTGTATCTCGCGGAGCCACGCAACGGAAAAACTCTATTCTCGCCATATTTCTCGCACAATGCCGCGAAATTGACTAGCCAGAAAGGCGAGCGTTTCGCAACCCGATGCCGGGGCAAAGAGGACCCCCGAGAGGCCGGGGCGCGATCGAAACGCTAAGCACTTCAACCAATCGATCGATCGCCGATATATCGACGACGACGATATACGTTGTACGGAGGAGGATGTGTGTATACAAATGCGCCGCCGTGTAGCTGCCTTCCGGCGATTTATCGAAATCCCGGGCTATGTTTTGCCACTAAATTCACTCTAAACACGCGCGCGAAACTACAACAGGTTCTCTCGATTCTCGCGCGCAGTAAATAAAAAACAAAATGTAAATAAATAAGTTTATCCGACGGGGGTGGTAGAAAGGTGAGTGGAAAATTGAAATTAACTAAATAAAAAAGAATATGTATTTTCGCGAGAGATTAGCACCAAGGATATATTTTCAATTTTCGGAAAAGATGTAAATAAACAACGGGGGTAAAAATATAAATAAAATTTATTTTCCCGAAAAACTCAGAAACACACGGTTTCGCGAAGCGCATCCAGCATCCAAGCAAAATTCTCAGGGACAAGCAGTTTCATTTTCCGAAAGATGCAGACGCGGCACGCTAATTTCCGCATGAAACATTTCA